CAACCATTGCTTTCTGAAGGGGTTGTTTATGGGCCATTATTCCCAGAAAGCTGGAGTCCCCGCTGCGAGGACAAATGCAGCGAGATTAGGTCGTGCTAATCCTCCCCTCAGATCCTTTAGACACTATTGCCACCATATGGTCAGTTTGGTCGGGGCTTACTGCAGCTGGTGCTGCTCACGCCTCTCGCTGCAGCCATACGAGGTCCATGGGTGTTTCAGCACGAGGTGTCCTGCGCAGGGACGTGGCTACAGATCTGCCCGAGCAGAGCAAAACCGAGATGAGCCTCTGCTGTCCCCCTCAGGAAGGAAGCGTGGGAGCTGCTGTCCCAACCCACCCGCTGCTGCTTCACGTCTGGGGTGAGCTGAGAGACAGGATTATGCCCGTGTTTGCAGATGGCACCTCTAAACCGCTGGGATGGAGTATTTGCTGACTTCAAACAAAACAAAAACAAAACATTAAAAAACCCAAAATTTTACATTTCTTTTTTTTTCTTTGCCAGATGCAGCCAGTTGATCTCCTGGGCATCACCATCAAGACTCTTGCGGAAATCGAAAAGGAGGTAGGTACCCAGCTGGGCACTGAGCAGCACGGTGAGCGCTGTGCTCCCCGCACCGTCAGATCCCGTCTCTGGCGGAAAAGGCCTCTCTTGTTTGTCCCAGGCCACTGCTGGTGGACAGGGCCATGCGGAGGCAGGCAGTAGGCTCCGAAGCAGTGGTGTCCTTGGTGATCTGTGCCAGGTGGAGATGCTTTGGGTGCTAAACTTACGGCAAAGTCTGCTGCCCTTTGTTTAATTCCACATGTCTGTCTTATTCAACCTTCCTTTCTCATTTACAAACAAAACTCGTTACAGTCAGGACACTTTGTGTTTGGTGGCCTCTTGCATCTCAGGGAAGGAGATGAACGTGATTGAGCAGTGGCAGGTAAACTGCTTCATCATTTCTCAGTTCGATGGTGATGGTAAAAACAGGCTGCGCTTTCAGCGAGCATGGGCCTTCCAGGAGCGCAGGGAGCAGACAGCTGACAAACCGAGGCCAGTGCCATGTTCCCCAGGAGCGTTTTGGCACAGCCAGGAGGAAATCATCTCAGCAGTGTGTGCTGCTTTGGCTCCATTGGTCACAGACATTTTCCCTTGTGCCAGCCAGTGGGGTTAGGGGCAGAAAGTAAGGAGATGGCGGAGGAAAACTCCCAGACTCCTCATGGCCACTGCTTTTTGATTCTCTTTGTGAGTCCCGTTTCTCAAATCCATGCTTTCGTGCCTGAAAGTCTGAGGGCCACATGAAGGTGTTTGGTTGCCAGGGCTGTGAGCCATGCGTTGGGCTGGGGGAGCAGCGATGGGCTTTGAGGTGCTGCCCAAGAGGGCAGTCTCTGCCCTCACAGAGCGCAGGGTCACCGGGGCGGCAGGGGAGGAGTTGGTACCGCTCTGCTGACACTCCCCATGCCGGTACGGGCTGCCTGTGTTTCAGGGTAATGAGAAGCACAATTAGCAGCCCATGCCCCTTGATGAACTGTCTTGTCTGCACACAGATAGCTGCGCGTATAAATATTGTGAATTTCTCGTGGTTTTATTTCCCTTGCAAGCAATAGCACCGTTAGGCAAATCTTCTGGATTTCCCCAGCAGCGAGAACATTTTCCCTGGAGCGAGACGCCTCGCAAAAAAATACTCCTAAAGAATTCCAGGAGTTCCTTTTCTCTGTCCCCACGTTTGCGCTGCGGTCCCCATCCTCCAGGCTGCCAGGCCAGGGACAGGAACGCTGGTGGAAATGGGCCCAAATCCTGCAGGGCGAAAGCATGGGGAGGCTTATTAGCAAAGTGAGCATCTCCTGCTAATCATTCCTTCTGAACTGAGACAGGCAGCTCGTTTAACCACTTAATTGCTAGAAGTTTTCATGGGCTGCTCTCAGCAAATATATTTAATGAAGAAGTTGTAAATCTAAAAGAGCTTAAAATTTTAATTTTATACAGAAGTATTTTTCCTTGTTCTCATGTTTGCAGTCAATTCTCCAGAGCACAGTCACATGAAATGTTCTTTAAATGAACATATTTGCTAACTGGCGTGATTTCAGTTTTTAAAACATTGGTTCCAGCAATTAGGCTTTTTTTTCAGTTCCCCAATGACTGGAGAAATTCGTCTTGATTATAATTGCTCTTAGCCACGCATATCTAATCTGTGTCTTTTTAAGTGTTAATTAGTAAACAGCTCGAGCTGACATCTTTATGTGTTC